CAGGGTGAGTCCTGGCAGCCCTAAACATTCCCACTACTGAGGCCTTGACAGACTGACTGATCCATATTTATTTTCTTCTTCAGGGTGACTCTGAGAGTGTAATGAGGAACCCACATGCAGTGATTTAATGCAACAGAAACACATTCATCAATCTGCAACTTCTTCTGTTGTTGTCCTTTAAATATTTCATGAAAATAAATATGAATCTGAAGGTTTCAGCTGAGGTGAAATGTTGTAAAAACACTTTTCTTAATCTAAAATAATGTTTGGCTCAAAACTGCTGTAAAGCTCTGAAAGTAAGAAGAAAAGTTCTCAGCAGCTCTGAGAAGGATCTGTCATCCCTTCCTGGATCAGAACTGACCAAGTGGCTTAACATGGACCAGTTAAAGTCCATGTTAAGCCGTCCCAACTTGGTGGTGATGATGAAGCAGCTTGTTATAAAATGTGGCAGCTTAATACACTGAGAGCCAGAACACACACACTCCTCCAAACATAATCCTGTCACATTGTTGCTAGGTAAAATAATTACCCTATTACTAATAATAACTCTAATAAGATGATTATTATGATGCTTTAATCAATCGTCGTCACATTTAGTAACAACTCAGTTAGAAATGGTAAGAACACTTTGCTTTCCCTTGTACTGAATTGAACCGATCACTGAAGAATGGTGCAGCATTTTAACAACCTTTCAGAATAAAAGCGCTCTCATCTTGTAGAGTTTCACTGTCACATGTTGTTGTTTTGGACTGTTTGCTAACATGGCCGACTTTTTGAAAGGAAACCAGCATGATGCTGTGAGGATGTTAATGTTCACTGAAACTTGTCAGTGGATTTATTTTTGTTCTCTCAAGATTATTGAGTCTCTGATCAGAATCTGAGTGAAGTTAAAGCATTACTGTCAGGAAAAAGAGTCTGATAATCAAACAAGGTTTTAAGGCCCCACCCTCTTTTCAGAATCTATCATAGGCTGACAAGTGAAAAGAAAATCCTTTTGGAAGATTTTAGGCTGCTGTAATTACTGGAGCAGTCTGAGATTTTCTGTCTTTGATTAAGTTCAATTCATCTTCCTGCAGACAGGATTCAGTCTTACTTTAGTAATAAGATTTATTTGGTCTAGTCAGTATGGAGGTGATGTGGACTTGAGACAAGTAGCAGCAAATGTTAAACCTTCACTGATTTAATGAAGAAATTAAATGAGACATGATTGATGTCCTGAAACATAAATGTGTAAAAAGCACATTGTCACAGTTTGTACTTTTTAAAGGCCTCCCACTGAACCAAGGACAAGGCTCTGAATAAAATCTGAGGACTGAGAAACAGTGAAACATTTAGTTCAGATTTTTAGCTGTGTCCAGATGTGGCCTCTTGGGTCTGTGGACAGAGGTGTTATAGACACACAGAAATGCTGTAAAAGGCTTTAACAAAAGGCTGAGGCAATAAGTTTGCAGTGGAAAGTGGAGACTGCCAAGTCTTGGAGTGTGTTTGCCAGAGCAGCAACGTTTGGGTCAAGATTGTGAAGTTTGCTTCCAGATCCTGGCTTCCTTCCATCGTAGTTCTGCTGCAGGCCGACCATGAGCAGAACATAATCTCCTCTTTAAATGATTCTTCTCTTTATCCGACTGCAGCTCAGCGTTCCCCCATGTTGGTCTCTGNTCTGNTAGATTGATCTGTTTNTTATATTCCTCATTGATTTAATGATTGTCAGGTTTCTGTGGTCGTTGCTGGAGATCTCAGAATCCCTGAAACATCTTAATATCACCTGGACCTTCTGTGAAGCTCATAGTCATCACAGTAGAAAATTAATTCTCTATAATGATGAATTGGTGGAGAAAAGACTGAAGATGACGACGTGTTGTTCACACAGAAGCTCCTCTGTGGTCCCTGTCTGCTCTAACATGGTTTATGAGCCTCCAGCGATGTAGAGGCCTGTGTTTTCAGTTGGAGCTGCTTCAGGCAGCTTTGTGTCAAGTTAATCCTGCCAGAAAACAATTTCCTCAGCAGGAACTGACAGAAATAGACATGACACAGTGTTGATTTATCAAAACAAGATCATTGTAGGGTAGTGAGCTGCAGATGATACCTCAGATGATGGAGGAAGACCATTGACGTTCACGATGCTGAACTGGACTAAAGTTAACGTTGGCAGCTCATCTGTTCATTAGCAATGTTTTCACTCTGAAGAAGAGGCTGTGGTTCAGTGGACCCTGCCCAGAACCAAATGACCTTAGCCGTCTACAATAGCTTACAGGCTATGATGCCAGCAACCGTAACTGGGAATAAAAACAGCCAGAGAAACGAACTGTGCACCAGAGGGTTGCTGAGGTTTTAGTGGAACCACAGTATATCCCTTCTGAATGTTGACTATAGTTTACTACTCTATAGCAAAGGCAAACAGGGCAAAATCACTCAGTTAAAGACGGAGGAAGAGTTTCCAAGGTTTGGTTCTGCAAAGCGAAGACGAGCGACGGCTGTGAGGAGCCGTGGGAAAATTGTTTGTCCTCCTGAGATGCTGATGTTACTGAAGGGACAACAATCTTTACCTTTGACCCAGTCATCGGATGATCATGTAGCTCTGTACAGAGTCAGGTTCAGGAGACACACCGTTAGTCTGGCTGTCAAATCACTGGATCATTAGAATCTTTAATAAATTTGGCATCTGGGTTGAAAACTAAACTAGTTTCAGTTTTGTTTCACAGTTTCGTCTTGTCTCTCAAGAGCAACAAGATCTGTTGAATTGACTCTTGGTCCATGTTAGTTGTCCAGTTTCTGTAATAAATGAATCAAAGCACCTTAATTATATTCTAATGCAATCATCTCTTCATGTTGTTGTTCCCTCAAAGCTTCCAGGAGTACAAAGCTCTGCAGATCCTGATTGGTCTGCTGACTGAGCAGCCTGAAGAGGTCCTGGTCAATGTAGTGGGAGCTCTGGGACAGTTTGCTCGGATACCAGCTAACAAGTCCATCATCTGCAACGGTGGGGGCATCAGGGCTCTCATTAATCTGCTCAATGGAACAAACCAGGTATATAACATTGGTTCTTCCTGCAGTTCTTGTTCAAATTCACTGTTATTGGTCCAACATCTGCTCTGTGTCATTTAACCAGGCTCTACTTGTAAATGTAGCAAAGGCTGTGGGAGCTTGTGCCACAGAAAGGGACAACGTGGTGTAAGTTTATCTCTCCTTTTCAATGTTTCATGCTCTGCTTATATTTACAGTAGATCCATGAGGCGCCTTTTAAAATGTGATTAGTGGCTTATTTCCCCTAATCAGTGAATCAGCCCAAACTCACTCCTGGCTGTTTATTGATGTCATGTGTTTTTACAAGGAAATGAGACCAAATGTAGGATGTAAACACAGCCTCATTAACCTGTCCTGGGCTGCTGCTCAGAAAGATTCCTATAGTTTTCATTGGGAGCTGTGCAGGTAGGCGTCTCTTTCATCCTTAG